AACAACAACACAACAATAACAAAAATCCCTAAATTGATAATAAGTATGTAAAATGTAAATAAGTTTGAATAAATGGTTGGAAAGTTGCATAATTAGTCGTCTGTTATTTCGCGTAACTTTTGAATTTGCTTTATTACGATGTGAACTAATCCAATTAAGTGGCAACTTCTGGGTCGCACTAGATGATGTTGATGATGATGATGCACTTCGCATCGTCGCTTTCAAAGTGATCCGTCCAAAAAGGAGCAAACACACTTTAAGCGCAATTGATTCCTTTGGTATCAACGTAATTAAATTGTTATTGGGAAGTTCAATTACACAGAAAATAGATGGATGGAGGCATTGTCTTTGCGTCTCCCTTTGTTCGCATCCATCGCGGCGCCCCCTTTCATCTCGTTATTCGCAAGAATCGAACAACTCCTTTTTTTTATCGTCTATTCTCTTTATCTCTCTGTATAAATACCTACACGTAGTCCTCACCTCTGCAAAGGTACTAAATTGAAACTATAATTTATGGAATTCGGGGAACGCCTTGCAAGGGTTATCTAGGGTTGTCGTCGTCGAGATGCCATCTCTTGTCGCCCCCGAAAACACTCTTTAGTCCATTTTACATTCGCCTCAACCAACCCTCCACACCCCTTCCCAACCAACGGTTATCTTAACGAGCCGAGGCCGGGGAAGACATTCCGGTGTGGCGGCACGAAAACCGCTTATCTCGTTCGCATTTACAAATAAACACCGAAGATGCAAACAGGATGTTTAGCGCACAACCGACGACGAAAAAGGAGAACAGTCGATGCTCTGAATCCACCTTAACATCCTATTAAATATCATTTATTCTTTAGAGAAAAAAAAAATGCAAGAAAACATAAAGAAATATTACCCTAAATTGAATGAAAAAAAAAGGACTTTTATGAAACTGACATTTGACATAAATGAAATCGAATTTTCATTTTTTACTTACGTTTCTTATAATATCTAAATCAATAATTTTTACATCAATTAAAGAAACTGAAAATTTCATAAAATTTCCCAATTTACCCTTAATTGAATAAGTGCGATAGTAATAAATATTTAAAAAATATTTGACATTTTGTTATAATTTCTCCCATGATGCACCACAACAGACAAAATCATAATGAGTTATTACAGTGTTGACATTTAACTATTTTACTTAAATCTTATATAAATTAGAATTTTCTGAAATATTTCAAACAAAATATATTACTTTATTTGGTATTAAAAAAAATATAGAAACCAAATTAGGTTAGAAAAATGTTTATTTTACGTTTAATTTTAATTAAATACTTCCAAGAAACACAAAATAATAACAATTGAAACTATTAAACTGATATTTCAATTTCTTAATTAATGGATTATGCTAGCGTTTCGATTTACTAATAATTGATTTACTTTTTACATTGACAATTAGTGTTGCATTTGAAAGCGACATCTGTATGCAATAAATTTTTAAAGCAATGAAAGCTGCTGAATAAATTGTAATGCAATGATAAATCTGTGTTGACTTTCAAGTGAATTTTGATTTCCTTTTTTCTCTCTCTGTCTCTCTCTCTCTCTCCTTCCTTCTTCAACTCGTTCTGAAACGCTAACAGTATTGTTTACACCGGAACGACGCAACCGGCAATCGTCCATTAAACCTAAACAAAAGCGCATTTCCGGCTGTAATAAATGAATGGAGTTTTATTTGTCTGCATGAAAGCGCATTATCTCTTCCAGTTTCTTAATAGTGCAACTCACGCGCGCCACCGCAACCGTACGAACACATGCATGCATCGCTGGCAAATGAGAGATGAAATGAGAAAGAGAGTGAGTGAGAGAGAGAGATGAAGAGAGATGAAGAGAGATGCACAGACAACAGAAAACTGGAGCATGCATGGCGGTACACAATCCAATTAAATTTCGCCGGGGAATTACTTGTTACACTGTTGGTACAATGAATTATGCAAACTTGAAAATTTCATTATTAACTTCCCTAATCCAATATAACAATGCAAGCCATCCCCACTCTAACCCCCGTCCCCCCAACACCGCGCAAAAATAATTAGCATCGCAGGAAGCTGCGAGAAGAAGACAGACGAAAAAATAAAATAAAGGAAACGTGGTTTTGCGCGAAACTTTAATCATGTGCAAATTATAATGCAATTATTAATAAGATCAGTAGATAAAAACAAAATTAGTTTATTAGTTAATTACATTTTTCATAAAATTACTAATATTAATGTTGGTTAATTTGTGTCTATGTTGCAATAAGTTTATATACAATAAGTTTATATTCGATCAATGTAAATTTTTTTGAAAAAAAAAGAACAAATTTTCAACGCAAACTATAAATAACAAAAGATTTGTTTTCACCGCTTGGATGATAAATTGTTGTCAAATTAATTTGTTTTATGGAAATAATATAGCTAAAAAAAAATTTAACACTGAAAATAAGTTATAATTAACAAACAATAATTTCATAATTTTCTATTCCAATTTGTTTAGATTTTATTGATGCTATAAAAATACTATTTTTTGTTGTATTTCTTATTTATTGAAAGAATTCTAACTATGTAAGTAAAAAATAAATAAATAGAAGTTATTGAAGAATATATGATAATAATGATTCATTTCTGTTTCTCTCTCTTATTATTGCGAGAAGGCAATAAAGTAATTTATTTCCTTGATCGAACCGGATAACGAGGTCGAAGCCAAAGGTGATATTTCTCGGTAAAATTTCCTTTCTACTTCATTCTCTCTTTGTGAGTTCTTGCAGTAATTGTATATGATTAGTGCTATTTATAAACGCAAGGATAATTGATTTTGCCCCGCGGTGAATCGTTTATTGTCGCTGCAAACTTCTTCTGCTTAAAAATGAAATAACGAATGCGAACTGCGCCTAATTGGCGTTGTTTTCCCGTCTTCGAGTCCTTTACTTGTGCAAAAATTTCCAATTATTTTCATCTCTCTTTTATTTTCATATTTCCTTTACCAATGCGAGATTGTCTCTCCGATTGATCGATCGACAAAGTTTAATAAGTTCGCATCAGATCCTGCTCGGAGTTCGTTATTATTAATATATTACCATGATCATGGTATGTACGTACGTATTTATTCGGCGCCAGTCAAATTCGACGTTCGACGTTTTAATATAGAAAGAATGTCGTCGATATAAAGACATTTTCGCAACATGCAGCATAAGAATTCGGGAGGGAAAACTCGTCGAATATTTGCGGCCCCCGGCAGCAAAGTCGCATCCACCGACTTTCGAAGACGTCGTCGTCGTCTCTTCCCCAACTAGTACTTTTTTTCCCTTTTCATCCCTTTACGCCTTTCTTTCCGCTTTTGAAGGGAAAAGGGCGCGTGGCAACTTTCGTTGGAAAAGTTTTTATATTAACGTCTCGCCCTACTCCGCACCGCCGCCCTTACTTTTTCCGAGTAATATTCCGGTAGTGACGGTAATAGTGTTCAGGTGCAGGCGAACATATGAACTCCGGACAACTGAAAAATGGAAGAAAAGTGCTGAAAAGTAGCGAGAAGAAGCAACCGTTTTAATCATGAAGCTAGGGATGCGACTTAATTTAGAGCTCCGATTTTCCTGCACCGACTAAATTGGAAACTTCCACACGCCGTACAAACATTCTAATTAACTTTAAAAAATATTTACTCACCCAATATTACAACAAACATTGCAAAATCAATATTAAAATTAAATATTTTCAAAAAAAAGTTTGTAAAGTAAATATTTTTTTCCATTTTATTTAAATACATTTCTCCGCTCTGTTCAAAACCGGCCACGATGGGATGAGAAAACCGGACTTTAGTGAATCCGCACTATGCGAGGTATTACTGTATTTACAAACTTAATAGAAATTGTCATTTTTCAATGAAATTTTATCATTTTACAGTGCTTTTTTGTTTGTTTTACAATTTTCAGTTAAAAAAATTCCTTCAATATTTCGAAAAATTGAAAATTTCTCAAAATTGCCTATTGTATATTATAAAAATTGTACACATTTCATTCAGAAAACTCTTAAAAGCAAATATCATTTTTTCATAGATTTATAAAAAAAAGTTTAAATCAAAATTGACATAATTTCATCTGTATCTATAGTTTAATATTTGATTATGATTTGAGATGAAAGGAGATAAAGTGTAGAATTGTACGGTAACAAAAATATATTGTAAATGGTTCAGTTACAACCGAAAAATATGATTTTTAATGAACATCCGTTTTCGAGGATCCTGGTGATTCTGTGTGTGTGTGGAATGCAGAAAGGATGCAATTAACCGTTGCGAATCTCGTATTTGCCGGAGGTGGAGGTAGTAAAATCAAGAAATCGCAGATGGAATTTGTTCGGCGATAAATATTGGATATTTGCACTCGCAAATGCATTCGTTCCTCCCTCGGCTCACGCGTCTGTTTGTGTATCTTCCTCCGAATACAATATTTGCTTAGCGAAAAAGTCTACTGCCTCTCCGTCTTTGCCTCTGTATATATGTGTGTGTATGTGTATATATATTGATTTAAGTCGATTCGATTACGCGATCCGTAGTAGTGGGAGACGCAGAAGGAGGACAGAAAAAAAAAGAAATAAACAAATAAAGGAAGAGGAAGGAAAAAAAGAAAAAAGAAAGGAGAAGATAAAATTGGGAGTCGAATCAGTTGCAGTTTCGGGAGAGGGCCGTAACGAAGTCTGGCGAATAAGTAAAGTTCAAAGGACACACACATCTATATATATATATATTGAGTGAGTGAGTGAGTGAGCGCGAGAGACCTAGTTTGACAGGAAATGGACTTTTTCAATCAATAAGTTCTTGGCCCGCAGGAGACATAGAGAGAGAGAAGAACAAGAAAGTATCTATTTCTAGAGCAGTTCTCGTTTTAAATAAGGCCACTGTCAATTTGTCTCTTTTTCTCCTTTTTATTTAAGTTCATAATCTACGTAGGTTTTGTTTTACTTTTTGTTCATTTTCTTTTGTTTTTGTTTTTGTTTCAGGTCCTGGCTACTGGGGATTAATGAATCCCCAATGGAATATGTGCTCGAAGGGAAGAAGACAATCGCCGATCAACGTGGAACCTGACAAGCTGCTGTTCGATCCCCACTTGAGGCACATACACCTCGATAAGCACAAGGTAAATCAGAGAGTGGCTCTATGATTGATTACTATTACTGTACCCTTTCGCAGCCCCCACACATAAATCCGACGAAAATCAAACAACTACTCCTTCATTCTTTCGTTACCACTTTCTTTCTTCGCTCGGCCTTTCTGTCTGCCCAAACTTTGTTCCATTAGCCACCCATAAAGAGGCAAAGCGAGAGAGAGAGGCAAAGACCGTAAGTTGAAGAAAGAAAAAATGTGTGTTTGGTGGAGGAAAAAAAACTTTTTTTTTTCCTTTGGCTCGTATTAATCAAAGTGCAAAAAGTGAACCACTGAATTTTGATTAAAAACAGCCTTATTTTTTACGTTTCACCCGCAAAACATTTATGAAGTTTCCACAAGGATTGACGCAAAAAACATTCACATTAAATCATAATTAGTAAAACTTGGATATCTTACATACAAATAAATAAAATTAAACGTGGATAAACGAGGTAAAACGAAAAGTGAAATATTAAATATTGTAGATGGAAATTTATTAATATTTAGTTAACATAAGAGTAAAAAAAACGAAATAATTAAATACGAAATCTTCAAAAACTGAGTCTTTACATTTTAGATCATTACAGAATAACTAGTAAAGTTATATAAAACATTTTTCATGATTACCAAAGTTTAGGTTATAAAGAATAATATATAGTTAAATATATAATAATTTATTTTGTGTGAGACAAATATGAAATCTACTTTTTTTTTTACATTTTAGTTCATTTTATCGCATCTAATTAAGTTATATAAAACTTTTTATATAAACATTAAAGTCTAGATTTTAAAGATTACCAACTTTCTGTGAGAGTCTGAAATATAAATTGAAATAATTAAATAAAAAATCTCCAAAAAAAAATGTGTCTTCACATTTTAACTCATTGCAGAATAACTACTAAAGATAATTCAACATTTTACATGGAAATGAAAGCTTAGATTATAAAGAATAATATATATTTAAATTTATTATAGTTTAGTCAACATATTTTGTGTGACAAATATGAAATCTACTTTTTTTTACATTTTAGTTCATTTTATCGCATCTAATTAAGTTAGATAAAACGTTTTGTATGAACATTAAAGTCTAGATTTTAAAGAATACAGTATATGTATCAATATTTTGATTACCAACTTTGTGTGAGAAACCGAAATATAAATTGAAATAATTAAATAAGAAATCTCCAAATTTCTTCAAATTTTAACTCATTGTAGAATAACTAATAAAGTTAGTTTCAACATTTTACATGAAAATGAAAGCTTAGATTATAAAGAATAAAGTATGTATAGATTTATTATAGTTTAGTTAACACATTTTGTGTAATTAGTCCGATATTTGAAAAATAAACTTAAAGCTAATGTTCCAAGTTTGTTTATTTTTTTTTTTGAAGAAGAAATTGAAGATTATATTTCTGCAAATAATCTTTAAAATATTATTTTCTCAATGACTGAAATTGTAGTTTCTTTCACAATAATACAATATTTTCTGTGTTCAATAACAATTTATTAAAACATATTTTTTATAATTTAATAAATTTCTTAACTTTTCTTCAATAAATTTGTTTCATAAATTTGTATAATGTTAATAATTAATACTATTCATATTTAAAATCACTACGTCTTTCACAATAACATTTGTTTTTGTTTTGATCATATATATTTTGATTTTTGTCCTCTTCCAATTCAAATCTGTCAATTTTTGTTGGTATCGTTCGTCCGATGTTTTAGTGTAACGATGTTTACGGTAACCGCGGAAACCGGAATATTTATTATGGCTGCCGGACGGATAATGCGTTAAGTGGTAAAAAGGTTCGAATTGTGTATGCGTATGAATGAGTGTGAGAGAGAGAGAGAGATGGTGAGAGGGTGGTAAGCGGGGAAAAGGGCGAGAGTGAGTCTGTAATGGCTTCGATCATTAGTGGTGTCCCGCAACCAATCTGCTCTCTCTCTGTGATTGAATGATGGATGACCCAAGGAAGGCTGGGATTTCACCATTTTCAAACTCCGCACATTCACACACACACGCACATACAATAACACACACACTCACAATCCGAACAGTGTAGTCCGGTCGAAACTACTAATGAAATCCATACAATTTCCTCCTCCAACCATCACGATAATAAAAATAGATTTCCAACCGGAAAATTGAATTAAATCACGGGGACAGCACAATAAACTTTCATACATTGTTTTTTTTTTTAATCTTTTTCATTTTCCGTTGGCATACGTGTAGTTTTTTTTTCCATAGCCGTCGCGTTTTGTAGCACGATTTCAACACACTACAATTCTTCGCCACCTCTCCACTCCCGCCCCAACAATAATTGCAACCCTAAAGTAAATATTATTTTATCTGGAATTTAATAGGAAAACCTCCACGCATTCGCAATTGTATTTTTATAAAGCGAGGATAAAATTGGCGGATGCGCCGGGTGCATGTGAAAAAGTTAAGCAATTGGATAATCGATACTGATTTTTTCTATACAATTTGATTGAAATATATGAATATCCAATAATTAAATTTAATAATTAAGAAAAAAAAAATTAATTATATTTAGGACATCAAAAATTACCGGTATTTGTTGTTAATAACTAGTAAAGTTATATAAAACATTTTTCATGATTACTTAAGTTTAGATTATAAAGAATAATATATAGTTAAATATATTATAATTTGGTCAACATATTTTGTGTGAGACAAATATGAAATCTACTTTTTTTTACATTTTAGTTCATTTTATCGCATCTAATTAAGTTAGTTAAAACTTTTTATATAAACATTAAAGTCTAGATTTTAAAGATTACCAACTTTGTGTGACAGACCAGAATATAAATTGAAATAATTAAATAAAAAATCTCCAACAAAAAATGTGTCTTCACATTTTAACTCATTGCAGAATAACTACTAAAGATAGTTTCAACATTTTGCATGGAAATTAAAGCTCAGATTATAAAGAATAAAGTATGTATAGATTTATTATAGTTTAGTTAACACATTTTGTGTAATTAGTCCGATATTTGAAAAATAAACTTAAAGCAAATGTTCCAAGTTTGTTTATTTTTTAAGAAGAAATATTATTTTCTCAGTGACTGAAATTGTAGTTTCTTTCACAATAATAAAATATTTTCTGTGTTCAATAACAATTTATTAAAACATATATAAAGTTAAGCAATTGGATAATTGATACTGATTTTTTTTATACAATTTGATTGAAATATAATGAATTAATTTTAATAATTAAGAAAAAAAAAATTAATTATATTTAGGACATCAAAAATTACCGGTATTTGTTGTTAAAATTTACCGGTTATTGTACTTTTTATTATTATAAATATATCGAATGTTTGCCAATCTGAGTTTCACGGATGATTAATGCATCCGGAGCAGGAGTTTCTCCTGCTCCTCCTGCATAAATCGCCGGATGTTTATTATGGACGGGGAGAGAACACTGCGAAAGTGGAGATTTATTGAAAAACAGATCAATCATTCGAAGTCGCAGTCCTCTCTTCCTTCTCTTCCTCTTCCTTCCAAAACGATTCGCATATACTTTTCGAGCGATCTGCAAATCCGATCATCGGAGCGCTCCAAATATTAAAAGTCAGTTGACGATGAGTAATGCGACCTCCTCTTCCTCCTCTTCTGCACGCTGGCAGACATCATCTATTAAAGATGAATCTCAGATGCATTCGCAAATTACGAAGAAAGAATGAAATGTTTAAAGAGACGTGAATAAAATATTTGTATCACTCTTGAAATGTCAATTTACACTTATTTCAATAGATGTCTTATGTCTTATTTTCAAATACTAATATGAATAATGCACTTTAAAAGTAAGTTAATTATTAAATTTTTAAACAGTCCGGTTCCAGTAACATCCCGGACTATTTGAAACCGGATTTTAGTTTGTTTTTATTATTTTTCATAATGAATTAAGAGCCACAATAAGAAAACATGAAATTTAATATAATTATGTAATTTCTATTATGTCTTCAATAATTATCATAAAAAAGACGATTTTCTTATTGTTTTATAGAATTTTTTGAAAATTGTTAATTCATAAACTCGAAACCATTGAATTAAACAAATTTATGTAGATGTACCAAAAAATGTGTCATTAATTTTAATTAAATACTAATGTATTGTGATATTATTGAATAAATAACTTGAATAAAGTCCATTCATCATCAATTAGTATCTAATTTACGAAATAAATATTAATTAGTACAAATCAGTCTGACTGAAAATTGAAGATATTTATTATACATCAACCCAATGAAACAACACAAAAATCACCATCGGAGAAACAAAAACGAAACGAAACAAAAAAAAAATGTTTCAGCTGAGTGCAATGCATCAAAATTACCTCGTAATAATATTAACACGCTAATATTCCATAATATACACAGTTTTTTTTACATTTCATCTCTTTTCTCTCTCTCTCGCACACTGTTTGCAATGTTTACGCGTGAGCAGTGTTTTATTTATATTACATTTCGCCGGAATGGATGTTGCACCATTTAAAATATGAACGTTTCCGACAGCGAATCCATCCTCCGGCTACAATAAATACCGGTATTATGTAAAGCGAACGGTGGATGGGAGACGGGACGAAAAAAATATAAAATAAATACTTTTTTTTGCGAAAATAATGTGAAATTCAAGCTCCATATTATAAATATGTACAGAATCCAATCATTCGGTTTGTATTAACTCTATGATATGCTAATGTTAATTAATTTTAATGCGTTGCGGTTGGTCGAAACAAATGCAAGAAGAAAACAAAACATATGTTTAATGTTAGATAATGGAAAACCATGGCGACGATACCGTATTACAGGCATCAATTAACTGTCACTTAGAGTTTAACCTTTAAATTGCGCGGAAAAGTGACAGACGAAGAAACGTCATTTTGCAAGTTTTGACAGCGAATCCATCGTTCGGCTACAATAAAAACCGGCATTATGTAAATATCGTTTTTTTTAGCTAAAATAAAATGATTTTCTGACTTTGTATTAATATATGTATATTGCATCCATAATGCTAACTGTTAATTAATTTTAATGCATCGCGGGTGGTTGAACATCAGAACAAATGCATGAAGAAAACGATGAAAATAATGTTTGCATAATGCATATGTTTAATGTTACATTAAAGGTAACCATAACGACGCTACAGTTTTATCGCCATTAGTTAACTGTCAATTACATTTTAACCTTAAAATTTCACATACAAGTGACAGATAAAATGTCATTCAGCAAATTTAATAGAAAGTACTAAAAAAAAATAGTCACGCAGAATAATATTGTCATAAGAACTATACGTGATTTAAATGTATTAATCACAAAGAATATATAGTCACAAACAGACACACCAATACCTCTCATAGTGCGTGTATTCGGTTCCGCATAGTCTGAAACCGAACTAATCGTGGTCTTTAAAAACACATAAAAGTTTTTTTTAATTTTTGTTTAATTAAAATTTAGTTTTTTTTCAAATTTTGCTGTATTTTTCTTCACCAAACAATGAAATAATAAACAAAACATACGATTAATTATTATTTACCATGACAACGTCAAATTGAGAAGGTAACATATAAAATTCATATTGTCCAATTTTATTTTGTTTTTTTTTTGTGTGTGTGGTTCAAATAATTAAATATCCAAGTGGTAATCTTCAATGAAAATACCGTTTCGTCTATTTATCGTGCGTTTTGTAAATACAATCCGAAGGATTCGTCGGACGCAGCGCAACGTATCTATTAATTCCGGATGAAATAATATTTGCTTGGGGCTCTCGAGTATTTTCATCGGACGGGTGGCGATTATTGCGATGCGATGGGATTCCGTGCACATGGAATCGAATTTATTATGTTACATCGTTGAAAATTTCATCTTTGTTATTGTAAATCAAAGTAACAACTATTGATTGTTTTATTTAAAACAAAAATAAAAAAGAAACGTAATGTAATTTCATTAACGTTATTTGACAGTTGAAAATTGACAGTTTGAAAATAAAGAAATTTTATACACATTAAAATAGAAGAAAATTGAGAAATTTTGTATTGAGAACGAAAATAATCATTTATTATGAAAAATAAAATCAAACAGTTATGAAATTGTTTATGAATTGAAGCAGAAAATTGAAGATTTTTTTGATATACAACAATTGTAAATTAGTCTAATTACAAATTGGCGAATTCAATTAATATATTTATTGGGAAATATCGATTTTGTGTAAAATTAATGATGCAACTAATGATGTTGCATAATAATAGTTAATATCACTTAAGCTTTAAATCCGATTACAAATTAATTTCAGAGAGGATCGAATAATATAACTGCGAAAAAGTGTCTCGTTAATGGTAATTTGCGATTAATTAGTTTAATGCACACGTTCCAAAAGTCAATCGAAGTTTTTTTATGTAGCTTTGAAAGTAAATTATTCTGAGTGACATTTTTTTCAGTACTTTTATTAAATTTACTTAATGACATTTCATCTGTCTTTTTTCTGCAAAATTTAAAGGTTAAACTCTAAGTGACAGTTAACTAATGGCAATAAAACATTAGCGTCGTCATGGTAACCCTTTAACTAACAAATAATATTTATTGCAACAACCATAATACAAACTTAACATAAGTAAACATAAAAAAATAGTGAAAAATTGTAATTTGCAAGTAAATTTCTAAAATTTTAATTTACAAACTAATTTAACAAGAAATTAAATTAAAATAAAATTGTCACACACATTTTTATGCAAATTTGATGGAAAATTGTTATGTTTTTTGAAATAAATTGTTTTAAAGTTTTTTTGTTGGTATTGTTTCAGGTCAGCGGAATGCTGCACAACACCGGTCAGAGTCTCGTCTTGCGCGTGGATAAGGATACGAAGCAGCACGTGAACATCTCCGGAGGTCCTCTGGCCTACAGATACCAGTTCGAAGAGATATACATCCATTACGGAATAGTGAACGGTCAAGGATCCGAACACCACATCCAGGGATACTCTTTCCCGGGCGAGGTAAGAGTTTTTTTTTGTGAAATCCATCCAAGTTTCAATTAGTCGCTGTAGTAGTGGAGGCGGCGACGGCAGAATGCAGGTGGTGGCCGAAACCGGAAGGCCAACAACTTGTTGATCAGAGGTGGTTTTGTGGGTTGCGCGCTGGGATGGGTTCGACGCTGGGATGCCGACGCCCGAACGAACGAATGAACGAGAAGAGTGAGAGAGAGATTCATCTCGTGGATGCGGAGGCCTCTTAATCTCCATCAAATATTTATACACCGAAGCTGCCAAGTGATACATAAACTCGTTAATTAAACTTAAACCCATTGTCTTTGGGGCCCTCTTCTCTCTTCTCTCTCTCTGTCTCTCTCACACACTCTCACTTACTCACTCTATCCGACCGAGAAGTGAAGAGCCGGAGTGGCTGAAAGAGTTATTGTGTGCACGTGTATGAGAGGGAGAGAATCGCATAAGCCAGCAAAAACAACTCGAGGGAGGAACGAGTCTCCGACACTTCCAACCCTGTCCCAACAAATTGCCAGATTCTCTATCAATCTCAATACATTTTATCTTCTAATTACTTTCCCCACTATTTTTTTTTGTTCCATTTAGTTCCTTTATTACGTTTAATTACTCTTAGTTAAAGTTAAATGAAAAATTTGAATCTTCTCATCACGTTCACTTTTTACACTTTATCTTACACAAAGACTTGACTTCATGAAAAAAAAATTGTGTACTAATGTCTACTCAATCAAAGTTTAGTTTAAAATTTATAAAAATCGTACTATAGTGAATTGCGCAGCAATTTAATATACATATATTCTGTTTTTTACATTAATATATGTAATTTCAGAAATTTAAATTAAAACGTACAAATAATTCAATAATTTTAATGAAAACACATAAATTCATTTTACTATTTCTGTTAAACAATGCAAAAATTACCAAATGCTTCAAATTACAATAATAGTTCTTTAAAATATACAAAAAGCTGTACTTTTTCAAATATTAAATATTTAAATCATTTTTAATCAACTTTTTCAATCAAAATATTGTAACTTTAATGCAATTTATTTAAATTATAATATTTGTTTTATGGTTTACAAACACTTATCTTTTTGTGTCGTAAATGTTAACAAAGAAATGAAACAATTGAACAAAAGAGTTGAGTTTATAGGAGGAATTGTTCAGAGTTATTGCGTGAAATGTATGTATATCTTGTTTAAATCAGTTAGGAGAGATAACGAATTTGAAGTTGCGAGAGATAGAGAGAGAGCTCAATTTCCTCGGGGAGCGTAAATTTTCGAGGAAAGTGAGTGTAAACAGTTTTATGGTATCAGAAGTGTAGTTGCGACGTCGGCGAAAGAGAAGGAGGTGAAATTAATGTCGATCTCCGCGCCGAAATTAAACCTCTAATCTGGGAATGCGCGCACCACCGAAAACCCCACATTATCTTTACGACTTATTATAAAATTCGTCCTTTCTTCATCCTCAAACGACTTCTTCCTTCATCCTTCTAGTGTCCTAATATTGACCGAAGAATTTTCAACAAAAAAAAAACAAAAATGAAAAGGGAGACGACACTCCGGGTTTATTAACTGGCGCTCCAAGTGCAGCACATAAAGTACGTCTCCACTCCTCTCATCTCGTACGTTTAATAAATTTAAATCCTTTACGAGCGCGTCGCGACGTCGTCATAATAAAGAGAAGAAAAAAAGTGAAAAACAAGGGAGATAGAGAGAGAGAGAGAAAAAAAAGAAGTATTGGAAGTAAAAGGAGAGAAGATGCGGAAAGTTTTAAGCGCGTTAGTGGAGATCATAAACATTTTGATTATGCGCGCCTCTTCCACTTTTTGGAAGAGTTTGACCCACAAAGTTCCGCAACAATGGTCGAAGATTTCCGACGTTAATGCGCGCGGTTTTTTTTTTGGCTCGGCAGACCGTAAACGACATCATTATTTACCCAAAATTAAAAGGAAAAAAATGTTTGCTAAATTCTTTACTTTTTGTAAGTTTTAGCCAACTTTGCTTCCACGTCTCGGAATAATAATTCTTTGACTTATGCGAAATTTAAATTTGTATATAACGAAAGACATCTGCTTTTTATTTTGACGCCATCTTTCGGTTTCTAAATTAATTACAATACAAATCAGTTGTTGCTTGAGTATACATTAAAAAAAAAACTACTTATAATAATTGTGACGCCATCTGTGTTTTATTTGTGAAATAAACAACTAAATCGATGAAAATGTGCAGTCGTGCAAATGGATTTGGTTCGATGAAAATGTGTTCTATTCGCTTCGTTCAAAATATAATATGATTGAATGAACGGAGGGAAAGTCTTTGATAGTTTTAATGCAATAACCATTATCCCGTTGCACGCACACCCACCGCTTACTGTTGTTGTAAGTCCATTCATTCGGCTAATGCGAGATCCCCCTGGTTCGATGGAAATCTCTTCTCGCCTTTTGTCACACGGCTGCAAAGGCGGATGTTCTTTTCAACGTCCGAAAACTTTTCGCCGGAAAAACTTTCCACGAAACCTCGCAAAATTGAATCCGCCTAATTAAAATTGATGCGCCCTCTGGACGGTTTTTCAACGTACTAATAAATGAAATCATCAAAAGCAGGAGTAAACAATCATTAGACCGTTTTCCAAACTGTGGGGAGGGGAGGCGCGAATATTAGTAGCAGTGAGCAATTTTCCTAATATCTGCTAAAGTATAGATACATTTCTTTGCTCTTATCCATATTGCTGTAATACGCGTTAAAAGTTGAAAAATTGAAATTAGAACGTTCGAAAAAGCAAAATTCCAAAAGATGCGTATGAAAGCTGAATGTTT